TACCCCAACAAGTGGATTTTCAAATACGTAATCTTATTTTAAAGATAAAATTCAACTTGGAATAATAATCTAATCCTCATACCTCCTACATTTTATAGACTAACATTTACACATTTTAGTGGTTTTTGTCGAGCCTGTGACTTTTGTCGCAGAAAGCTTGACATAGGGATAGTGATCCAGCAGCGGCTGCGGCGGCGGCTGTGTTAGTTTACTTCTTAAAAGCTTTATATTTTAGAAGCTAGAAGACCTGGATGCTTCATACTTTGTATATGGATGCCTTATGTTACGAAGTTTCCGTCTGTCATATGTCTGTTGTCCTTGACCTCATTTTCATGGTTCAGTGACTACTTTTAAAAAAAAAGTCAAAATTTTTTGTAATGTTAATTTCTTTCTTATTATGAGTAATAGTATAACTATATTTAGTATGTGCGTACCTTGCAAGATCCTAATGCCCGTCAGACAATTTTCATTTGACCTCGACCTCATTTTATGGATCAGTGAACCAGGTTAAGTTTTCGTGGTCAAGTCCATATATCAGATACTATAAGCAGTAGGCCTACTATATTTGGTATATGGAATGTTTGTTAGGTGTACATGTCCAACTGGTAGGTGTCATCTGACCTTGACCTCATTTTCATGGTTCAGTGGTCAAAGTTAAGTTTTTGAGTTTTGGTCTATAGTTCTAATACTATATGCAATAGGTCAACTATAAATGGTGTATGGAAATATTTTATGATGTACATGTCAGTCTCACAGGTTTTTTTTTACTTTGACCTCATTTTCACGGTTCATTTCTCAGTGTTAAGTTGTTGTGTTTTGGTCTGTTTTTCTTCAACTATAAGCAATAGATCAACTATATTTGATGTATGGAAGGATTGTAAGGTGTATATGTCTGTCCGGCAGGTATCATCTGACCTTGACCTCATTTTCATGGTTCATTGGTCAATGTTAAGTTTTCATGGTTAAGTTTGTTTCTTAGATACTATAAGCAATAGGTCAACTATATTTAATGCCTTAATTGATTGTAAGGTGTACATGTCTGTCTGGCATGGTTCATCTGACCTTGACCTCATTTTCATGGTTCATTGGTCAATGTTAAGTTTTCTTGTTGAAGACTGTTTCTTAGAAACAATAAGCAATAGGTCAACTATGTTTGGTTTATTGAATGATTGTAAGGTGTACATGTATTTCTCGTTTGGTTTATCTGACCTTGACCTCATTTTCTTGGACCATGTTAAGTTTATGTGTTACTTGTAGTAAAGCTTTGTATTTAGGACTATCAACATAAAATCAATGGTTAGTAAAGAAGGCGAGACATTTCAGCGTGTGCACTCTTGTTTTCTGATAATTAAGATTACTTTAAAACTATTTAAGGATATTTTTTCATTCAAGTCTTTTATTGACCTGTGTAAATAATTATCAGCCTGATATTGATTATTGCTTTTTAATATCTGTAAAACATTTGATTTTATGTTATCTTTTGGCACTGTATAGTATTTTAGAAAGATATTTGGGAATCAGGTCAAAGCATAATTGGTTTGTAAACAGATATACTGCTGAATGGTTAATGTTTTACAATGATAGTTGATACTGATCAGCAACTAATTTCACAAAAAATCTTAAGAGAAAAAATACACGAAAATCTTTAACATTTTAGTATAAATTATGATCAGTTTTTGTCGTAAGGTATTTTGTGAAAAGAGCCCCAGTTATTGAGTGTCAAAGTTTGCTTCCAGGGGCGGATTCAGGTTGGGGTGTGGTTGGCGTGCGCCCCCCATAAAATTTGCAAAGCATGGGTTGCCCTCTGCTTAAAGAATATTTCGATAATTTTACCTCAAAAAGTTTTTGCCTCTATCCGCTCGGTGAACATTTAAGTTTGCGCCCCCCTAACCTAATATGCTGAATCCGCCCCTGGCTTCCAGGATTTAAGTCGTTCCAAAAAAAAGATAACAATTGCAGAAAACAGACCATGATTCTTCTTTGTAATGAAAGTATCAGAATGCAAGACTGGTATAATTTTTCTGTTGGCAATGATGTGATGTAACTCTGGTTGAGTAATTTTCAACATTCACCATTCAAGGAACCAATGAATACATGTCATCAGCATTTTACAAAAGTAATACGTTATAGAGAAAGTCAAAAGCACTGTCCATTCCTGAGAAATAATGGAGCAGAGGCCCGCAGGGCCAACATCCATTATTTCTCAGGAATGGACAGTTATTTGGACGTTTGCTAACTTAAAATACACCTTAAATATGAAAAATGAATCTTCAGATTATAACATTTTAAAGAATTTCATTTTATTTTGTAATGGTTTTCTTTTCATTTTTCCTTGTTGTGCCCAATAATCTGCAGTCAAAATTTAAGATCAAGTGTACCATGTATTCATTTAACGAAGTATTTATGAACAGTACTGTAGAACAATTACTATAAAAAGATCTTGAATAAATATCCAGATTTATGTTTTAAATCATTGGATAGGCGATGTCTTTCTTGTAGTGTGATTGAAAGGATATTTATTTGTGTCTTTAAGTGGCATTTCGGGAGAGAGAAATAAAACTAATATTTTTGTATATATGTTAATGGATTATGTGTGTTTTTCGTTTGATAAATATTGGATGAGAAAAATGAAATGGTACAACTAGAATAAATTTCCAGGTATGTAACACTTTAGTCTAGGTTATTTAACTAATAAGGGTGTGCTGGATTATAAGTCATATCAGAAACAAAATATGAAATTAAACAAGAAAATTCTGATTCGTGCATAACCCAACATTTTTTCTCTCCCTTTGCTCATTATATCAAACAAAAATTGTATGCACTTTTTAGATGAGTCTTAAATAGCAATTCAAGCAAACTAAACATTTTTCATTTTTCCCTATAATCAGAACAGAAACAAAAAAGTTTTTGAAAACAACCTGCATGATTAAAAACATCTATGGATTCTGTTTTGAAGGTCTTTAACTTAAGTGGAAAACTATTTTTTAATTTTATTTAAACATTTCAAGGTTAATGCCGTCATTTGCATTGCCGTTATAACTGTTGTATTTGCCACTGGACATATAACAACAGTGAATGAATTGGATTATGTTACGCATTTCTGTTAAAAATTGAATAAAAACCCTGCCCAATATTTAACACAATATTATTCAAATGTTATCCATACCCCTCAAATTATATTCATTAGTACGACAATCAAAGTGTAACAACGAACAATCTAATGATATACTGAATACACCATTTTGACCATTTCAGTTTCTGGAACTATTCGTTCTATTAAACCACAATATTATTGTAGAAACTATCTGAGTAATTCTTCTGTTTTTAATGTATATATTAAAATGCAACAAACGATGTTTGCTGTACAAAATCAAAGTACAACATTTTTAATTTCAAGGAAATGATATCTTAAATGGTAAAATTAGAAGCAAACCTTTAAGTGAAATAGATTCTAATTTTCATTATTGAATAATGTTAATGTGTTCAATATTACAAAAGAATGCAACTGAGTTAACACATTTAATATTTTTTAGATGCACAGAAGAGGAATGGCACTCAATGAATAATATTCGTTTTTGCCTGCTTGGATACTATCCGTGACAGAAATTCAGCCAAGATATGCATAGGAAAACAAACTGTGGATATTTCATACCATGGAAATACGACTAGCAAATAAAAGCTGCTTGTTAATTCATTTTTTTTTTGTAATGAGATATCTGGTTTGCTTTGTATTACTATGATCCCAAGTATAAGAAAAAACAGTATCAGCCATTTTAGAAAGTTTTCATCTTCATTCAATATTGCGTTACGTCCTTTAGAATTATTTCTATCGGTGAACACTTTTTAAAGGCAGTGCTTTAATGCCTTTCTAGTTGCCGTGTTAATATTTCTTTCCGCGATATCCAACTTATCTACGTGGGGGGTCATTTAGCTCCAAGTAGATCCGGAAAATGTTGATTCTCTCCTCTTCTTATTGTGGTATAAAATGTTTTTTGTCTCATTTCATTTACATTGGGAAATAGAGAAACGATCATTGTGTTTTGTTAGTTTTAAAAACTTTTGATATATTTGTATTTTACATTATTATAAGCAGTCAACCGATTGACAAACTAGAATTATTTGAATTCCGTGTGGAAAGAGCTCGGGTTAATTTCGAGTGTTTTCTGCAATCTAGATGTTTATAAATCATTTCAGTCGTTGATATAATAATAAAAGGTCGACTGAACATGAATTATATTATACAATTTAAAGCGCATTTCTGTTTATGCACGCGAACCCGTCTAACGTTATTGTTATTTAGCAGTTATATAAAGTAGCAGATTATCGTTCCTGAATAGGTGGCGCCGTGGTAGCCGATCCTGTACTTCAACTTCCGGTTTCTGCACTGTGCAACTATTACAGTTGCATTTTTAAGGTTCATGTGGACCCTTTGGCTAAAATGGCAGCATTTTCACCTCAAAATTTACTCTGAGGACAGACAAACCTGCGCATCTCGAAAAGTTTTAAGGCATAGCATGCCCTAGATAAATAAACTTCTAATGCATTGTATGTTTTAGAAAATTTAAAACTTAACTGGATTTAGCAGTGCACTTTTTTTCGTCCCTGCAGAAGATGATAAAATTAACAAACAGTTGAGTTTCACTTGATATGGTCCACTCAGGTACACAGTTTAAATCACCAATTATTGTCAGGTATCTATTGTCCATCTATTGTCCATGTCAATCAAAACAGTTTACTTCAATTATTACCTGTGGGGAAGTTCTCAAACCTCTTTCCCAACTTTGTTTATTTTGGCACCTTCTGGTGGAATGAAAAAAAGTGCACTGCAAAATCCGGTTAAGTTTTTAATTTTCTAAAATATAAAATATATTTGAATTTTATTTATCTAGGGCATGCTATGCCTTAAAACTTTTCCAGATGCACAGGTTTGTCTGTACTCAGAGTAAATTTTGAGGTGAAAATGCAGCCATTTTAGACGAAGGGTCCACATGAACCTTAATTAACGATGCCAAGTACTTGTTGTTGTGTACCTGGATGTCATTTAAGAGGAGGACATGCATTTCCAAATGACTTAAAAAGAAGAAAAAGTTGGATCAACGCCATGGCCCATACGCAGATTGGACGAGAACACGATGAAATCGTGGAGTCCATCTCAATCAGCTGTTGTTTGCAAGGCACATTTTACTGAAAAAGACTACGTGCAGGAAACTATTCATGGTAAAACTCTATTTTCTTTTTAAAATATATAGTTATATATGTAATCGCCATGCGAATAAACCAAAGTCAGTTTACAACCGCAATTATCGTTTTAGAATAAAAGGGGGTGGACGTCATAATTTTTTGGATTACGGTTCAATGTGATCTGTTTGAGATTTTTTGGTGCTTGCTACAATTATAATGATTTCTTACAAGAGGTATATCATACTGAGAATTATTTTAGCAGTAATTATGCTTATGTAGTAATGACAGGAATGCATAAGCTATGCCTCATAGACTTTCTTGAAAAATATCAATGACAATGTTAACAGGAACAAAACAATGACATGCTCTCATCTATATTATAGTTATTTAGGTACAAACAATGTATGTTTGTTGCATACGTCTCTCATTGTTTGTCCTTTGGATTTACATAACATACATTTTGATGTACATTGAATCAGGCTAACATAGTTTTATCCAGATTGTAATGAATAAATCTAGTTAATATTTTGCCAGGTTACGAGTACAAAGGAATTATAGTTATCTCGTACCATTGTAACTCGTACCAATGTCAACTCGTACCACTAAACAAAAACTCGTTCCAATGCAAACTCGTACCACTGCTAACTCGTACCACGGTAAATTCATACCATTGTAAACTCGTACCCACTTATTTAAATGCATTCAAATGGTGTTTAACTGAATATATACTTTAATTTCACTCAATACCTCTTAAGTCTGTAAAATGTATATAATTTGAAATTACAATAACCAATTTGTAGCTAATTTTCCTTGTCTAATTGGATAGAGAAAACCGTGGCAGATTGGCTTTGTTGTCTCCCTTGAATAGACTCTTTTTTTCAACTTTTACTGACAACTATTTGATTTAATTTTTAATCATTCCAAATCAGTAACATTGAATAGATTTGGGTATTTTTCTATTGTTTCTAAAAGGAATTTTATTTAATGAAAGAATTTATTGATTGTGTTTTAAAGGTTTAAAATTGTTTATGACCAACAGTTAGAAAGTATGAAATTTATTTTTATACAATATTCAGCACATTTCAGCAGAATATGACCATGCTTATATGATTATACAAGTTGATTAGTTAAAGATAAAAAAAACCAAGTTGATTAGTTAATAATCAACCAATAATCACACAATCAAAGGAATTTAATATATTTATTAGCATGGTAATTAAGAAATTACATTTGTATTTTTGTCTAAGTTTTCATTAAAATCTGGTATAAATTTCAAAGATATTTTAATTTTTTGTATAAAGCTTAAAAAAAAATAATCATAAAACATTCGTATTTTTGTCTAAGTTTTCATTAAAATCTAGTATAAAATTCAAGTAATTCAACTTTTTTTATTTAGTTTACCAAAAAAAAAATCATAAAACTTTCGTATTTTTGAATATATTTTTAATGGTACGAGTTTGCAGTGGTACGAGTTCTGATTGGTACGACTTCCCAGTGGTACGAGTTTACGTGGTACGAGTTTACAATGGTACGAGTTAACTTGCTTCTGTACAAAGTATGCATTGCTAATGGAAGTTCATTTAATTATCAAAAAACTAATGTTTTATAACCTTTTTCAGGGCACAAACCCACCATACAGAGACTTAAGTCTACTGCCAATCCCAGCCTATTTTCCTGGACCAAGCAAGAGACTGAATCGTCCGCAAAAAGAAAAATCAGGGCAGTTTCCTGTGAAAACAAAAGAACTAAACTTGATGAATATTGTAGTAGAAATCTAGAGGAAAGTTTTGATTGTAAAGTTGGTTTTCCTGAAGAAGTAATTCATACTGCAGACAGGATTTATGACTGTCCACCACCAATTGCCGAGCTAATGTTGAGCTTCACAGATGGAATTACGCAAACACCATCAATGCCTATATTTTCAGCAGAGAATTTTGAAATGAAGACACGTGACACAGCCATGCATTTTTATACCGGTTTAGAGTTGTATACTAAATTTTTATTTGTTTTGACCACACTTGGTCCAACAGCACATTGTTTGAGATACATATATTTTCAAATTGATAGGGTGTCATTTGAAAATCAGTTTTTTTATGACTTTGATGAAATTGAGGCATTATACAACCAACTTTGAACTGTCTAGATTCTAGATTGAAACTAGTGTTAAGAATATTGTGTAAACATGGATTGTTTTTATGTCTAAACAGTGGCGTGAGGCTAACACTTGGCCATTTAGTGGTTTAGTCAGGTATTTTTCGCCATCCAACTTAGAATTAAAGTTTCCTACAACTTGGATTATTATTGACAGCACAGAATATCCCGTGATAAAACCTAAAGCTCCTAGAGCTCAGGCAACCTTTTCATCATATAAAAACAGAAACACTGAAAATACTTGTATGTTCGACACCTGGTGGTTTAGTCAACTATGTCTCTAATGCATATGTTGGTTGTACCAGTGACTGTGAAATAGTTGAAAGATGTAGAATAGTTCAATTATGTGATCCAGGTGACAGTGTGAAGGCAGACAAAGGTTTAAATGTGCAAGATTTGTTTGCTCACTTTTTTCAAAAAAAGAAACAGAATTAGTTCCAAAACTCTTATACGGGATAGAAAAGTCTCCAATTAACACGTGCACATAGAGCTAATTATTGGACTTGGCAAAACATACAAAATTCTAAGAAATCCTATGAATGGAACTGAAACAAAACTTTCATCTGAAATAACATTTAGTTGTTTTATGTTGTGTAATTTTAGAACTTGTATTGTGCCAAAGGATGCATAAATAAAAGTGACGCAATGAAGTTTGTTCTGATATATATATATAAATATTATTTACAATTACATGCACATGTAAATTGTAATGCATATAAAAATAAGGAGATGTGGTATGATATTCAGTGAGTTTATCGAACCAAAGTGCATAAGAAATGGGTTAAGCAGTTACAGGTGTTACTGTCACCATACAATCTCCAACAATTAGAAAAACTTGTACCGTGTAAATAATTTCAGAGATCTTGCAACTAAGTTTTGTTGTCTCTCCTTGACTTTGGTGAATTGTTTATATCTGTTGATGTAAATATAAAAAAGAAGATGTGGTATGATTGCCAATGAGACAACTCTCCACAAGAGACCAAATGACACAGGAATTAACAGCTATAGGTCACAGTACGGCCTTCAACAATGAGCAAAGCACATACCGCACAGTGAGCTATAAAAGGCCCCGAAATGACAATGTAAAACAATTCAAACAAGAAAACTAACGGCCTAATTTATGTACAAAAAATTCGTAAGGGTTCTGCGGAACCCAGTGTCTCGCCTACTTTTTCTGTTAATCCCAGGCTCAACAAAAAAGAGGAAGTAAATCAATAAAAATATTCCTCTTGATACTATCTTTTGATTGAAAGAAGCTTCTGTCCAAGTTTGGTAAAAATCCAGGATAGTTTATGAATCTAATAAATGTTTAAAAACTTTAACTGCAGACTGAATGTAATGTTAACTGGAAGAAAACAAAATTTCCTTCTAGATACTAGCATTTGATCATAAACAAGCTTCTGTCCAAGTTTGGTAAAAATCCAAAATAGTATAAGAAAGTTATTAAAATTTTAAAAACTTTAACCACAGAGTGAATATGTTGTTTCCTGGCAGAAAATCTAAGTCCATTTAAAAGAAAATACGGAAAAAATGGATTTATTTTTTTACAAAATTTCCTTCTAGATACTAGCTTTTGATCATAAACAAGCTTCTGTCCAAGTTTGGTACAAATCCAAAATAGTATAAGAAAGTTATTAAAATTTTAAAAACTTTAACCACAGAGTGAATGTGTTGTTTCCTGGCAGAAAATCTAAGTCCATTTAAAAGTAAAATAAGGAAAAAATAGATTTATTTTTTTACATAATTTCCTTCTAGATACTATCTTATGATCACAAACAAGCTTCTGTCCAAGTTTGGTACAAACCCAGGATAGTTTAAGAAAGTTATTAAAATTTTAAAAACTTTAACCACAGAGTGAATGTAATATTTCCCGGCAGAAAAACTAAGTCCATTTATAAGTAAAATACGGAAAAAATGGAATTTTATTTTTGCAAAATTAACTTCTGGATACTATCTTATGATCATAAACAAGCTTCTGTCCAAGTTTGGTAGAAATCCAGGATAGTTTAAGAAAGTTATTAAAATTTCAAAAACTTTAACCACAGAGTGAATATTTGTGGACGCCGACGCCGACGGAATGTAGGATCGCTATGTCTCGCTTTTTCGACTTAAGTCGACGGCTCGACAAAAATGAACGAATAACAAATATGCAACACATAAACAAACGACAACCACTGAATTACAGGCTCCTGACTTGGGACAGGCACATACATGTACATACAGAATGTGGCGGGGTTAAACATGTTCGCGGGATCCCAACCTACCCCCTAACCTGGGACAGTGGTGTAACAGTACAATATAAGAGCGAACTATAAAAATCAGTTGAAAGAGGCTTAACTCATCAGATGGATAAATACAAATACAAGTGGACGTGGCCGGGTAGTTGTACATCCAAACAACAAAAAGACACTAAGTACAGATCTGAGTGTACTCACATTTACTGACAGCTAGTTCAAAGCCACAAACTGATAAAAAAATCTTGCATCTAAGACTAAATTATCAATCCGTAAGCTCCCTTTAGAATTTTATAAATTTTAGATTTTACATTATTGAGTTATGGGGTTTTATTCATTAAAAAGGGGGGGATTTTCCAGTTTTTGGACAACAACTCAAAAATGCTTGAAGCAGTTCGCATGAAACTTTGGTGATTTATTTATAGCTATTGATGTAATCTCCCTATTGATTTTCATAAATTTCAAATATGACATTGAGAAGAAATTGAACTTTATTCATTGTTATTTGTTTATAGTCTGGCAACAGATTTATTAAGTATTGCGCAACAGCACAGTGTATTGCACAACAGCAAGAAATCTTTAACTGAATATAAATTCAATTCATATAACCGATTTCAAGTTCTTTGACTACATTTATTCAGAAACTATAATATGTCAAATATTTAATTACAATCCAAATTCAGACCTGTATCAAGCTTGAATATTGTGTCCATTTTTGCCTCAACTGTTCAGGGTTGGACCTCTGTGGGTGTATCCAGCTGCGCTCAGCGAATCAGTTTATTACTTAATTAAGAACTCCTTTTTGTCGAGCCTGCGACTTTTGTCGCAGAAAGCTCCACATAGGGATAGTGATCCGGCGGCGGCGTTAGCTAACTTCTTAAAAGCTTTATATTTTAGAAGGTGGAAGGTCTGGATGCTTCATACTTTGTATATGGATGCCTCATGTTACGAAGTTTCCGTCAGTCACATGTCCAATGTCCTTGACCTCATTTTCATGGTTCAGTGACTACTTGAAAAAAAAAGTTAAGATTTTTTGTAATGTTGAATTCTCTCTTATTATAAGTAATAGGATAACTATATTTGGTATGTGCATACCTTGCAAGGTCCTCATGCCCGTCAGACAGTTTTCACTTGACCTCGATCTCATTTCATGGATCAGTGAACAAGGTTAAGTTTTGGTGGTCAAGTCCATATCTCAGATACTATAAGCAATAGGTCTAGTATATTCGGTGTATGGAAGGACTGTAAGGTGTACATGTCCAACTGGCAGGTGTCATCTGATCTTGACCTCATTTTCATGGTTCAGTGGTTATAGTTAAGTTTTTGTGTTTTGGTCTGTTTTTCTTATACTGTATGCAATAGGTCTACTATATTTGGTGTATGGAATGATTGTAAGGTGTACATGTCTAGCTTGCAGGTGTCATCTGACCTTGACCTCATTTTCACGGTTCAGTGGTCAAAGTTAAGTTTTTGAGTTTTGTCTTTTTTTCTAATACTATATGCAATAGTTCAACTATATTTGGTGTATGGAAATATTTTATGATCTATATGTCAGTCACGCAGGTTTTTTTTTACCTTGACCTCATTTTCAAAGTTCATTGCTCAGTTTTAAGTTTTTGTGTTTTGGTCTGTTTTTCTTAAACTATAAGCAATAGGTCAACTATATTTGTTGTATGGAAGAATTGTTAGCTGTACATGCCTGCCTAGCATGGTTCATCTGACCTTGACCTCATTTTCTTGGTTCATTGGTCAATGTTTAGTTTACTTTGTTAATGTTAAGTTTATGTGACAGTTGTAATAAAGCTTTATATTTAGGACTATCAACATAATATCAATGATTAGTAAAGAAGGCGAGACATTTCAGCGTGTGCACTCTTGTTTCATTCATAAATTACTTTATACTTGGAAATATAATTTTGCTTGGAGTTATAGTTTCTAAAAAAAGTATTGTCATTGAAAGAGTTGACATGTTGCAATGTACATTTATTCTACATAGTTCTATGGTACCAAATCAAAAGTTTATATTAAAGAAAGAAGTCAAAGGTTTCCCATCATAGTTTAGTTACATACATTTTTTTTGTACCTAAGGTCGTTGAATATAGATCATTATATAAATAAGGAGATGTGTTATGATTGCCAATGAAACAACTATCATCCATACATTGTACTTACCAGTAACAAACCACATTTGCAAAGTTGAATAAAATACAGTTGATAACATTTACTTATTACTTAAAAGAAAATGCCAAACTATTTTAAACAGTATTTGACTATAAACATAGATAAAAAAGGTACTAACTGGACATAATGCACTAGTTCGTAAACAAGTGAGAACAATCGCCTTCATATAGTGCTCAGAATATGACATTCATAAAACTTGTTCAATATCATTAGAGAACTCTAAATCTGAAATACTGAAAGCCACCTCTGATAAGTACAATGTACTATGCAAGATAATGATATAACTGGACTAAAAATACACACAACCTGTAATTAACTGCCTTTACAGCGCTTTCGCGCTTTGATTAAGAAAGTGCTGATGGAAATATCCAAAGGGCAAAACGCCAGGATGAATGAAGATAAACAATAGAAAATAATTCTCCATTCCTGAAAAATAATGGAGAGTTTGAACAAAAGATTTACTTCACAGGTGTATTTTAAAATATACCATCAGTTGTAATTTGTATAGATGGCAAGGTTTAACAACAGTTTGTAAATTGAACTAATTCATTGAAATTTGATTCAATTCTTTAATACACAAAATATTGTTTGATTATTTGAATTGTTGGTTTTCTTGTTGGCAGTTATTTATGATCTGTTATTCTGAACAACTTAGCAAAGTGAATTGAGATTGAAAGTTAGAAGAATGGATTGTGAATGGAACATGGCTTAGATAATTGTTTAAAGAGGCTATGGAAATGTCAGAAGTCAAATTGGTCTTATAAAATACATTAAACTGTTAACAGGAAACTATACATCAGAGTATATAAAGGAATATTGATAGTTTAACATCCCTGTCTTTATAAGAGAATCAATTGGACAATAGACGTTTATATTAATGTAGGTCTCATCTAAAGTTTACATGCTATTTTATTAAAAGTTGTCTTGGTCTGGAAGCTCAGAACTTTGTGTCAATTTATTCTTGATGAGTGATGGTGATTACTAATTGACATTTACATTTGTTTCATCAGAAACCTTTTAATTTTGTCATTGTTTTTGTCTCACTAAAGAAATTTATTGCTAATAATGTCAGATTGATTTCAGTGAAGCTGCAATGTAATCTTGCAATGAAGAGATACTTAACCATATATGTACTTGATTGAAACTATAAAAACTAAAATTGTGTTTATTTAATGTCACCTTTCAACTTCTAAGTGAAAAGAACTATGTATTGCATATATTAGCTAAAACCATAG